CTACCCAGGAAATTTTAAGTCTTTTCACTTAAGAAAAAATGGTGTTAGGGCTAAATGAACACTTAGTTTTCTTGAGCAGCGAGGAGCTTCTTCCAGACATCGCCATCTGGATATTGGTGTTTCCTTACAGAGTCCTCCTTCATTTCTGTTGAGTAGCCAGCGTCCTAGCAAAGACGAACATAGTCATTTGTGTGGATAACCACCAGGAACAAAAATATGTATGTTACTTATTCCTACTGTTCCTAATAATGCCAGTAAGTCAGAAGCAATTCAATATTTTAAAAAGTTTTCAGACTGGGGGTTGGGGGGCATACTTTATTGGGTACTCAGTAGGATTAGTTACAGAAACTAATCAAATTTCCTTTGATAGCACAACCCCTATTGGTGAAAATAAGCCACAATCAACCTGACCAGGACAAATGGCCCAGGTAATACCATTGTAGTCAGAAACTTTTAGGTCACTAACTTGTAGATGGGACCAATTTTTGGTTTTTTAAAGAATCCTTGTCAAGCTATTTAACCTCCATGCTGACCTTCCGGTCTTAGGAATTTGATTCTGACCTCTTAAAGAGCCATTTGTTTCTAGATATGAAAATAAACTCTGGGGAGTTAGAGCTTTGTGCCCTATGTTCGTGGGCACATTAGTGGCTAGCAGCATCTAAGGTGTCCCAAGTCCCAGCTTACCTTGGGAGGCATGTAGGAAGCCTGCTTGATTACCACAGGATACTTGAAATGTTCATGCAGATGGTCCACATATTCACACATCCTAGAAGAGGGAATCAAATTGGGACAATAATGCCAGGAATCAGATAATGTTTTTCTTAAGGCAGAGCGGGGACTGCCCTTAAGAAATGGATTCCATCATGGCTTAGCTGATTTCAAAGGCTTCTATGCAAAGCCCTTCTGTGCCCCGGATGCTTTTTATCTGTAAAACAGCAATGTGGGGGCTGAAGTGAATCACAAAGCCCCTGGTAACTAAAAGTTCTGTGATGCCCTAAAAGCATCAGTTTAGATTCCATGAAGTATCTGGAATCACCTGGGTGCCTATATCCCAAAGTCAGATGAATAGATTAAATCACCAAGTGAGTCTCTTTCCAGCTATGT